TATATATATATGTATATATATATACGATTTTCTTTTTAAGCATTCTATCTTCTCTCTAGTTATCAAGACATTTTTATGGAAATATTACACAGAAAGAACAATTTTATTAAAGTATCTAAAAATTTAAATATATATAACATACAGATCTCTAAAAATAAGTTTGTTGGACCATTAAAATAATTAGGTATATATTTATATTATTGTATAATTAGATATAATCGGAAAAAAATCAAACGTGATGAGCAGTGCTGCAAAAAGTTTTGACATTCTAGCAATGAAATAGTTTCAGTTTGTGAACGTCCTACTCTCTAAATTTCCTGGAGTAAAATTTTACTCCAAAAGAGTAAATCTATGTATTACCACATTAATGAAAAAGAGTGAAAATATTTGCACTCTTGTGCAATTTTCTTTTTTTATTGAGATTTACTGTAAAAAAAAGTGAGATTTTTTTACTTTCACTCCAAAAGAGTGACAATTTGCTACTCTTGTTTAAATATTTCCAACATTTTTTTCTTTTGGAGATTTCACTCCAAGAAATTTAAAGAGTACGTAATTATTTTGATAGTCCAACACAATTATTTTCAGATTTTTATTCAATTAAATTTTTAGATACTTCAGCAAAATTTATCTTTTTCATATAATCTAATACTATCTTTTATGTATTTAAATATGATTTTATTAACCGGCGTGTTGCGCTCGTATATTACATAAAATGTGCGATATGAAACCGAAATGTTCTCATAAACGGTTTGCTTCATACTGGCGTACATTTTTTTTTCCAGGTCAAGTTGATCTCTGGACCCAAAGCACCACCGGCTGCGCCTGTACCTTCAATGCATCCAGCAACGATTGCGCGTGTTGCGTACCATCGGGTGGCTGCAGCTGCGGCGCAGCTTCGCCCGATAGATGCGCTCAATGCGGACTGGAACAGCATTGCGCAAATAGTAAGTATTACTAAGTTAATCATTTACACAACAAGATTAAGTTTCTTGAAATTGTAATGTTTGCTGTAACATTTCACTACAAGTGAAGATTTCTTTGTATAACTATATTTGATGCAGACATTAATTAAAAACATTGCAGCTAAAACGGCGCATTGTACATTTTAAGAGATACATTTCAAACGCGCTTTAATCTGCATGCATGTAAAGCATGGCGCATAAATGCAAAACTTATTAATCTCGTAAGCAGTAAACGGAAATTCTTTCTCACTGTCGCTTTTGCCGCTTTTTCTACTCGCTGATGATCAACTAACTGACGTATTTGCTCTCTCGGTCCTCTACGAGGAAATATAATTACGTCGTGTCAAAAAGACATAGATGATCTCTTTGAGTC